TCTTTCTCCTTAATCTCTTTTCTTCGCCTTTTTCTAACTTGTTTTCTCCAGTTATTATTATACTTTCGAAACAACTTTCAAAATTTTTTTAAACGAGTGTGTTGAAAGAGCAGAACTTCTTGTTGTTTCCCCTGTATTCTTCATTGAAGTAATAACCAAATAGCTTTGTCGACGGAGTTGGGCCTCCCCACTCATACTTCACCAAGATTTTATATACAAGGGCACCACCTGCTAGTTATCTTGTATAATAACACTCCTAGCTTGTATGCTAAATATCCTTCTTTAAAGGAGTTCCTGAGAGTAGTAGTTGACCTCTAGACAAACCACTATATAGACTACACCTCTCCAACAAGTAGTTTAGGTTTTTCTTTAGCAGAAAATTTTGGTCCAGGTAATCGTCAGGAAGAGTTGAATACATTCAAGTCTATTATTATTTGTATTAATTTAATTTAGCTAGTAAGCATAAAAATTTATTTATGAATCACATGTGAAATAACTATTACAAAGTAAGAATTATTGAATATAAAGATCACATATTGCAATGAAGATAATACACATGTAATATAGTATTAGATATGTGATTCTAACATAACAAGAAAATGCTTATTAAAACTTTTATTCATTTAACTATATAATACCCAGATTATATATTATTTTTAATATCAATTAGAAGTTATAATAGTACAAGCTTTTCTATTTGATGGTTACAATAAATATGAATGAGTAGCTATTTAATAAACAATATAAATTAAATATAATAATACATATTTAGCAATAAGATAAGTAAAGTTTTACTTATAATATATAATATTATAAAAATAATAAACTAATAGATGAATGGTCAATGGACCAATGGACCAATGGATCAATGGATTATAACATTGGTTCATTGAGCTCCATTAGCAAATCTATTTTTAATGAACATAGTCCATTGCCAACCCTGGCTAGGGGTGCACCATGGTGCAGGTGTACCATTTTTTAAAATCCTATATATAATTAATAAATTAAGAAGATTGCTATTTTTATAACAGATTTTGCTATTTTTACAATTATTATGCAGTGTGTGATATCTAAAGATTAAAATAAATTTACTAATTTTTAAACTCTAATAGCTTATAATATAAAATTATATAACAAAAAAAAAAGCTGCCAAATTGTAGCTAAATTAATTTATTACAACTTAGCGGCCTTTTTTTTAAAAAAAAAATTATTTATTTATGACTTTTACTAGTTGAAAAATATTTAATTTACATATGCTTCAAGGAAAATGGAACAAAAAACATGACTTTGATCGACCAATCAATTTTAAATTTAAGCATATTCAAAATTTGATTGGTGGGCCAGATCATGTGATTATGACTAGATCTGAATTATCATATGTTTAAGCAGAGACAATGCCTTTGAATTTCTCATAAGAAAGAAGGTGTCACAATCTGATTTACAAATAAGTATACATGAGAAAATTTTCTCATGCCCCACATCTTTTATTTTTATATTTGAGAAGAGAATTGGTGTATAGTGCACGATTTTATAAATCTGAGGCATAAGCATTTAGCAAGTTAAGGGGCTTTAAAAGCATTTTATAATGAATAAACTGAAAAAAAAAATTTAGTATATGGCATATGATTTTATGAAGCTGAGGTGTTTAGCAAGTTAAAAGGCTTCTCATAACAAAAAAAAAAAAGAATATTTAAAAGTTTAAGCTAAAGAATCAAAGACAAGAACAAATTAAAGTATGCTAAAACATAAGTATAACAAGTTGTTTCGAAAGTATAATAATAACTGGAGAAAACAAGTTAGAAAAAGGCGAAGAAAAGAGATTAAGGAGAAAGAGAAATTTTCTGGAGATGTTATGGATATATATAATAAATCTAACGAAGAGAAGAGCAAAAAAGAAATTGATGAAGAAACAACTAACTCACTTAAGTAGAAAAAGAATAAAGAAAGAAACACAAGGATAATAAAAGGTTTATCAAAATTGATGTATTATCATAGGTTTGGTGCTTCTAAACACTCACAAACTCAGCTAAAGGAACTCATAAAATCACCAACTTTTTTAAGTCTGCAAGGTTAGTAATTGATTTTTTTTCTTATTTTTATTTATTTATTTTCTTATTTTTTTTAACTGTTGCTTCTTAAAGCACTTTAGTGCCTTTAATGTTTTCCACAATGGATGAATTTTTTAGCAAATCCATGGCTCACCCTACACCATATCAAATAAGTAGGTTTTTTTTTGGGTTTTCAGCATCTCCCATGGTTTTGGCAACTTTGACTGAGTCTGAGTCTGATACAAAAGAAGAAGTGTGTTTTATATTTAATGAAGAAATTAAATGACTTAGAGAGGATCTTATGAAAAATGAACGAATATTCACTGCAACTAAGTATAGTGAATGACAATCAGTTTATGAGTATCTTGTGCAGTTAGATAATGGTGTCAGAAAAATGAAAGCAAGTAAAGAGGCTGTATGTATTATCTGCATCTCTTCAAAACCATACACAGCCCAAAGAATTCAGTTTCTAGCTGATTTTTATTTATGTCATGGTTCATTTCTAACTCCAAAACATGGTAAGCACCAAAAGTGCAAGTGACTGATTGATGACGAGAATGTTGCCTTGCAATGTTGACAATGGATACATGAGGAATTGGGTCTGAATAGCATCAGTTCGGTTTGTTTCATGCAGTATGTAAATACTGTTATAGGTATTTTAGAGTGTGAATATAAAGAATACAAAAAGGGGATGTATTGAACATGAAAGAGAGAATGTTGTAGCATATAGAAGAACTTTTTTAGATATAATAAGTACTCTAAAGAGAAGAATAGTAATATATGAAGGAAAGAGAATGGTAAAAATTCCACCAGTTTTAAATAGAGGAGAACAAGAATTAATTTTTGTAACTTACAATGAATGTATATTTTACTCAAATGATGGAAAGAGAAGAATTTGGATACCCTATAGTAATATGCTATTATGAAAAAGAATAATGGAAAGTTAATAATGGTGAGCGAATTCATTTTAGAAGAGTGTGGTTGGTTAAAACTCTCCAGTGAAGAGATAAGAATACACCAAAACATTCCCAGAGAGGCACGTTGTTGTATTATGCCTGGTAAAAATCAAGAAAACTATTGGACTATTGATAGTTTATTGAATCAAATCCAAAATAAAGCTATCCCTATATTCAAGACAAAATTTTCTAATGCAACCACCATTTTTGCTTTTGACAACAGCATTAATTATGCAGCATATGCAAAGGATGTGCTTGTTGTGTCAAAAATAAATTTGGGGCCTGGCAAAAACTAACTAGTAATGTGGTCAACAACTTATAATGATGCTGATAAAAATTAACAATTCCAGAGCATGGTTTTTGAAGAGGATTATGATAATTCAGCTATGTGTGGAAAGTTAAAAGGAATAAAATTAATATTGCAAAAAAGAGAACTTTGGAGAGAAGGGCTGCGTTTAGAATATAAATTGTGTAAAAATAAGGAATCACAAAATGATCATTTACAGGTAAATTGCTATGCAAGAAAGATTATTGCATCCCAATCAGATTTTATTGCACAAAGGTCAGCCATTGTGGAACTAATAGAGAATGCTGGTCATTTGTGCATTTTTTATCCAAAATTTTATTGTGAGCTCAACTTTATTGAAATGTATTGGGGTGGGCCAAGTGTTTTGCAAGAAACCACTGCAATTATTTTTGGGCTGGCTTGTAGAAAACAGTTCCATCGGCACCTGACTTTGTTGATCTTGTTACAATCAGGAGGTTTGCTAGAAAATTCTGAAGATATATAGAATTGTATCATAAAGGACTAACAGATAAATTGGCTGAATTCACTTGTAAGAAATTTAAGTTATATAGGCGAATTCCGCAAAGAGAATTAGATCTTTTCATTCAAGATAATAGAGATCATATTGATTTGTAAGTTTTTTGTTTTTTTTGTTTTTTTTTTTTATAAAAAATCTAATTTAGTTAATTCTGTTCTAGACCTAATGAATAGAAACACTATTTCAACTCTGGAGACAAAATAGACTTGAAATTTTTTTTTTTTAATTCGCAAAATGAAACTTGGAGCACCTGAAGGTATATGCATGCTTAATTTTTTTTTAACCATGAAATGAACCCGAGGCACTAGAAAGTATACATATATTCAAAATTTTAATTTTTCTTTAGTTTCCTTTTTTTAAAAAAAAAAAAACTTAAAAAAGTTTAATTTTTTTTAAGAATGTATTTTTTTTTAGTTTGGTGTTAGCAAATTAATATTGACAATTATTAGTAGGGATAGATAATGACAAGTAAAATTAGAAAACCATGGGATGTAAGGGATTCATTTATTATAGCTTTAAATGTATACATGTAGCAAAATTGGTCTCTGGCAAATAAACAAAAGTATTGTGCAAATAAAATATTCAAGTTGTATATAGTTCAAACCCAGATAATATATTAATATTGTTAAATTTATGATTTGGTAATCAGAAACTTGAATAGTGCATACAATTTTACTAACGTGATCATGTGATCTCACAAAAAATATGTGTAAATCAACATTTTTGTCAATTTTAATTTTTGGGACTATAAATGGGACAGGTCATGTGATTTTAGTCTTTAGATCTTACGCACTATACAAAATTTCTAAATTTAGTAAATTATAGATTTAAAAAATTTTTCACTAAAAAATTGCAAAACATACAGGGGGTGACAAAAATAATTACCCACTTAAAGGCTTGGCTTATAACTCAAAAACTTACTAATTAATTTTGGCTTTTATTTATTTATCTAAATCTATAACTCTTTGTGATT